GGCATGCTTATGCAGCAGGTTCTCGGTCAGAAAGCGTAACGGTCGTACATACAAAGAAGCAGAATAATAGTATAGATTATCCACTGCTGTGCCTACGTTGAGGGCTGGTGAAGCTATTGCACTTTACTGTCTTGTTTTTACTAAATTTAATAAGTGAGGAGCAACAGTACCTAACCTAAAGCAATATGTAGTAGAATAATTTTGGTCGATACTGTGTGGACAGTAATATGTTGTTTATAAGGGGAGACTGCTCAGAATGACCGAATGTTTTTAAATGGGTCGAAGTGGTCCTGAAACATTCCAGTATTATTTTGCTCAATTCGTCGTTTTTTATGTCTAGCTACGACATTGTTATCAAGCTTCTCCAATATACTTTAATAGCAGTCGATGTTTTGGTACACATTTATTTTGGTTTGTTCCAATAAAATAATATTTCTTGTGAAAACGTATAAAGGATGTAATCATATTTTTGCTACTTGTGTTTACATATTTACAAAAAGCCAAATCTATTGTTTTGGGGCTGTGAACGTAAGTCTATGTCCAGTTACATTACGTCTTGTCTAACATTTGTATCTATGTCAGTGTAAGTTCGATCAAGGTAACTTCAAACATCATGTAACATAATTCTTAAGTTTTTTAATACTTTGAATTGTAAGCGTGTAATTTTGTTTAGTTATAAGTATTTTTATAAACATAAATATACTTCAAAAAAGTTTTGTAGTGTTAGGGTGCATCTGGTACTGTTGAGTGTTAACATTTGTAGCATACACCAATTCTATTATCTGTTGTTCCATTAGAAATATAGCAGCTCATCCTCGTTTTAAGTCATTATCAAGATTAATGCCTGTCTCATACAAACTTACATTGAATGCGAAGGTTGAATGGAGGGCTCTCTCCTCTCCCTTGTGTGTTGGTTGCGGTACATTTGTACATCCCTCTGTGAGATCGATCCACGTTGGTCAAGAGTACGGTTTGATTCCTAACAAAGACTCTAGCTGATAAATTGGAACATAGGTCCTGATCCCCGAGAGTCCAATTGATGGTTATGACTGAAGGATTAGCGATGATGTTACAGTAAAGAGTAACGTCCTCCCCTTCTTTCGCTGTGTGACTGTGGGGACGTTCCATCATTATGACACTCGACTGAGGTTTATCTAGAAGTAAGTAAACAGATATAAACATTCAACCAAAATAAAAAAAGTACCATTATTTTAATAAACATAACCTATTTTATATAAGAATTATCCTTGAAGATGTATTATCAATATTAAGATCGATTAAGGAGTAATAAAGAAATAATATTAATTTTGGAAAACATATTATCAACTATACGTTTAGGAATATAGGTAAGAGAAAATACTTATTTCTACGGTCAAGACAAGTTTTAGCTTTAAATAGTTTATTACTAAATATTAACCATTTAATGAGTATATATTTTTGTTTTATATTTGAACTAACTACATGCTTTAATGAACACATAATCACTAAGTAAAATAATAAAAGAGGGTGTGCAGTGCATATATTTCACAAACAAAACGTAATTTAGAATATCATTTAGAAGAACATCAGGGATGTGTAAAAAATGAAAGGACTGAAAAGTCGGCCACAGCAGAGCATGTACAAAAAACACAAGATATTATGGAAAAAATCACTAATATTGGCTCAACCAAAGGGTATTGGAGCCGATAATATCCTTGAATCTTAAGAGATAATAAAGATCATGGACTATTAAATACTGATGAAGGTCCGGCGAATATTTGTGTAAGAAATGTGGCAGAAATAATAAACCTACACACAGGTCACATGACCTAATTTAGAAGGAATAAATATGATACTTGGAAGTTCACTCCTGATGATGACATGGAAAACGTCGAAACATGTAGAGTCAAAATTTTAGAGGCCATAGATTGGCCTGAATTAAATATTTTGTAAATTGTGTTATATATTTATTAATTTAACATTATAGACAAGAGCCAAGAAAATTATATTTAAGTAACACATAGTTTTAGATTATTGATTTACTTGCATTGAGATTTTATGAGACATGTAATTTTAGATTTTACACATACTTATATTCAACATCCAAGAAATTAATTTCAGGAAATTCGAATTATAATTAGATTTAAGTTGTATACTTACATCGAACATCTAAAGATTGCGTATCGGTCAACATGCTATCTGGTATCAAAGGATTCACCGCTGAGCATGAAAGAGGCTTTTTGTCGTCATTTACAGAGGGTAAAAAAGTTAGCAGACTAATAGTAACATTTTCATGATTGGAAACATTGGAAAAAGCAGTCTTCAGCTGTCGATTTCCTTTAAACCACTCTATTGTTGCTGGAGGTCGCGATCCAGCTGTCCAGCAGCTAACTTGAGCTGGACTTCCTTCTGAAAACGACTGGTTGTGCCGATCAATTTTCACAACAAGAGGTTTAACTGGGTTAAATCATAAAGTGAAATAATATATCTTAGTACACAGTAACTGCATATGAAATATTATCTAGAACATAATTCTATAATATGTAAGGAAATTGACAGTCGTCAGATAATGAGTATACATCTGATTAATTTAGCGACAGAAAATTCTTGGGACGTTAATTAAGGAAAAAGGCTACCTTCATAACAGTTGTTACCTTATTCTTTTTTTCAACTCTTTTCGTAGATATATTCAATAAATATACAAAAACATTCGGAACATGCTACCGTACTGTTGATGACAAGCAAAATTTATGTTTTGGTGTTGCAAGAAACATTTATAAAAAAAGTTTATAAAAATGACTCTGAAATATAATTTTTGTTTTCATTGAACGTCTAGCATATATACAACTCTTAAAATACAAAAGTAATGCTTTGTTAGATTACACCGGGCAACAAAAAATTTTTTCTCTACTACTAGAAAACATGCAACTGTTTCGGAATAATTTGACAATGCTGATTCTAAAAATCATGTTGAAAATTCTGATCAACTCTAGTTTTCGAGTTATGACAGAAGTTGCTCATGCTGCTTTAATAGAGACAAATCATGAATCAGGTCACTTAGGTCATCTTGTGTGATCAAATGAGGCAGTTTATGTTGAAGTACTACAGGAATAGAATTACTAGATGAAGATGATTCATTGAATTCTTCACAGGATAACTCTTTTGTATTCCAATTTGCTGATGGATGTGGTACTGGAAGACCATTACCATGAAATACTGGTTTCATTGTAGTTGCAATATCTGGATGTTTAATGTATTGTTTAGTTTTGCTTGAATATCCAGAAACATTAGTCATGCAAAAATATCAGTCATTTAGATGATCTTTGAGCTCACGCTATATCATGAGAACTGCAAATGGTATACTTACTCTATTATTATTCAATCACTGTGTCAAGCAAGATGTGCAAACAGTACAACACATATGTGGAGCCCAGTGTTTATGTTGGTCACCAATTTTACACCTAAAATAGTCGTAATAAGCTAACTTTACCTTGTGTGTGATATTTATCCTTCGTGAAATTATAATATATATATTCCACAAATGTAGCAGAAACCGTTTGGGCGATTTTTGCAATTTCGGTCTTTATATGAACTGAAGGCATCCAACATTTCATATGATTTTCTAAAAAATAATGACTTATGTTTGCAGAACTAGAGTTTAAAATATAGAAAAAAGTAAAGTTATATCAAGTTGGTGCACCAATGGAAAGAGTAGCCATTGACATTGCAGGTCCTTTGCCCCAAACTCGTGCTGGAAACAGGTACATTTGTGTGGTGATGGATTATCTCACCAAGTGGCCTGAGGCATATGCAATACCAAATCAGGAAGCTACAACTATAGCTTTGGCTATTAGTGATTTCTTCTTCAGGTTTGGTATGCCAT